GTTGCGGGGCGGCACGGGTGCCCCTGCGGGCCGGCTCGCGGACCCCCGTGCGCGATGGGCGTGCGGCTCGCGGACCTCTACGGGGCGGCACGCGGGGACCCTGCGGGCGGGGCATGCGTGCCCCCGTCGGGCGGCTCGCGTGCACTGCGGGCCGGCTTGCGGACCCCATGCGGGCGGCACGTAGACCCTACGCGGGCTAGCACGCGGACCCATACGGGCGGGCATGCGTGCCCCGTCGGGCGGCTCGCATGCACTTGCGGGCCGGCTCGCGGACCCGTGACGGGCGGCACGCGGACCCTAGCGCGCCCGCTCGCGAACCCGCAACGCGCCGCTCGCGTGGGCCCGCGGGGTCGGCTCGCGTCCGGCTGTGGGGCGACACGCGAGCCCTCGCGGGCGGCACGCGGACCGGCTGCGGCTTTGGCTCGCGAGCCCTGCTGCGCCGATGGGCGTCTTGGCTCGCGAGACTCCTGCGGGCGTTGGGCGTGTCCCGGTGCGCGTAGGAGGTTAGGAGGGGCTACGCCGAGGCGGATGGCGGCTGCGGCGCCGAGCCGGTTTCGTCAAATTCTGCTTTCCGGCTTGAAAATTCGTCCCTTTCAAACAAAAACATTCCCGATAATTCCAAAATGTTATTATTATTCTCCCTCACACTTTTTGGATCGTTCGGACTTTTTTTTTTCGATTTTTACGCATTTTTAATGTTCAAAAAATAAAAAAGCATACTTACGATCCTTGAAAAATTCTGAAAATTTTCTAGAAAATAGATTGGATTTTTCCAAACCTATGTATAAAATTTCAGCTCAAAATTCAAAAAATTGAATTTTTTAAAGGGAGTGACGGGTGGGACCTAGTAGTGTACACCCTTGCCGGAGGCTGAAATTCTACATATTGCTCTATAGGGGGTAGCTGCCTGCCTGCCCATGGGCGCCAGCCATGGGTCCTAGTGCAGGAGCATTGTGGGTGGTGTCTTGGCTCTCGTTCTTGGTGGGCTTGCTAATGTGCCGGGCCGGTGAATGTTTCCGTTCGCCGGTGACCCCCTCCGGCCACTTTTTCCGGCGACCCCCTCCGGTGACCCTCGGATTTTTCTATGCAGCAGCCAGCCTTTTTGTGGGTTTTTTGTGCCTGTGCTTTTGCCAACTGGTGGGCCAGCAGCTATGGGTGTTTTATTTGCTTTCGGCAAGCACGCGGTTGGTTTTTGTTGCTGCAATGGCAAGTTAAGAAGGTGGCTGGGTTGAAGCTATGGGGATGTTGCGTCGGGCTTTTGGGAATTCCAACGAGAGATTTATGCAAGCGCTTGCAGGGCATTAAGTTGTTTTGCTTGTGTGGACGCATGGGCCCCCTGCGGAATCTCCTTGAGCCTTTGTCGTGATGATATCTCCACAGCCGAGGCCTGGCCATCAGATTTTCGAGCCGAGTGGCAAATGCGTGTGTGCAGGTGGCCAGCGTGATGCCCCAGTCGGACGTAGCGACGGGCTTGGGGATTCCAAGGAGAGCTTTACGCTAGTGCTTGCATAGCATTACGTTGCTGTGCTTGTGCCGAAGCGTGTGCTCTCCCCGCAATCCCTCACCCTTTGTCGCGATCGTTCCCCGACAGCCAAGGCACAGGCATCGGCATTTCACGTCGAGTGTCGAAGGTGGGTGCGCGGGTGGTCGCTACGATGCCAATCATGACGTAGCGATGGGCTTGGGGATTCCAACGATAGCTTTGAGGCTAGCGCTTCCATGGCATTGAGTTGTTGTGCTTGCACCAATGTGTGCGATCTCGGTGCGATCCCCGAGTCCTTCGTTGCGATTGTATCCTCGCGGCGAGGCACTACGCATTGGCGTTCGACGGCTATCTTGGGACGTAGCGGCGGCTAGGGATTCCAGCTAAAGCTTTACGCTAGCGCTTGCATGGCATTGAGTTGCTGTGCTTGTGCCGACGCGTGCGCTCTCTGCGCGATGCCCGAGGCCTTCGTCGTGATCGTAGCCCGACGGCCGAGGCACAGGCATCGGCGTTGCGAGCGGAGTGGCAAAGGTGGGCGCGCGGGTGCCCAGTCCGATGCCGGGCGAGCTGGGACGTAGCGACGGGCTTGGGGATTCTAATGAGAGCTTGACGCAAGCGCTTGCATGGCATTAAGTTGCTGTGCTTGTGCGAGCGCATGCGATCTCCCGTGCAATCCCTTGGCTTGTCTTTGTGATCGTATCCAGACGGCCAAGGCTTGGGCTTCGGCATCCTAGCCGTGGCAGGTGTCCCTTTTTTCGAATGTCTCCATCTCGTCCCTTCCGGCTTTACGGACTGTCCCTTTGAAATCTTTCGCGTCCGGCGGTGCGGGCTTTGATCATGCTTGAGTGTTTCCATTTTGCTCTTTTGGGCCGTGGTTCGCTCTTCGGGATCGATGTCTTGTGTATGCGGTGACGCGTGAGTTATCGTCGGGTTTTACGTGTTGGCGAGGCTATGTCTTTGGTGCATTGAGCTGATTGGCCGTGGTCCCCATCACATACGGCCCCGAGCACATGCAGGGCCTCAGCGGTGATGAGGGGTTCCTGTGTCGCGTACCCTTTGCGGTGGAATTAGAATTTGACGCTGTCCCTCTCTGCTTTGTGCCTCCTCTAAGTGTGCGCGGCGGATCTTTCGTTGTGGCGCTTGTGTTCCGGTCGAGCGGACTTCCGTCGAATTGGCCCACCTGCGACCGCTCGTGCTTTCGGATGCAGAATTTGTTGCCTGTGCAGGGTTCTCCAGCCCTGCAATAGCCCCGTTCGAGTGATCTTTGCTCGATAAGAATGACCTCTGCGCCTGACTTGTCCCCTCGTCTCTTTGACGTTGGGGATTGTTCGGGTTGCGGTGTCGCAAAGGAATGCTACCTGGTTGATCCTGCCAGTAGTCATATGCTTGTCTCAAAGATTAAGCCATGCATGTGTAAGTGTGAACTAATTCAGACTGTGAAACTGCGAATGGCTCATTAAATCAGTTATAGTTTGTTTGATGGTATTTGCTACTCGGATAACCGTAGTAATTCTAGAGCTAATACGTGCAACAAACCCCGACTTCTGGAAGGGATGCATTTATTAGATAAAAGGTCGACGCGGGCTCGCGTTGCTCGATGATTCATGATAACTCGACGGATCGCACGGCCATCGTGTTGGCGACGCATCATTCAAATTTCTGCCCTATCAACTTTCGATGGTAGGATAGAGGCCTCTTGTCACGGTCCTAGGCGCGGGGTTGCGCCAAGGATAGGCGTAGGCGCGAGTATTGCATGCGCCAAGGATAGGCGCGGGGTTGCGCCACGGATAGGCGTAGGCGCAAGTGTTGCGCATGCCGAGGATAGGCGCGGGCGCAAGTATTGCGTGTGCCGAGGATAGACGCGGGGTTGCGCCGAGGATAGGCGTAGGCGCGGGGTTGCGCGCGCGAGGGCCGCGAACAATGGGTTCATGTTTGGCACGACTCCGAGACTTGGATAGAGGGGCTGTCCAAGTTGCGTGGGAACACGACGGTGAGAGAGGGCTCGGTCGGATGCACTAAAGGGTACGTGGGATGGCGAGGCCAAAGGAAGTTCTAGAAGGAGCGAGTTATCAAAGAGGCGGTTATCGACGAGTTACTTCCTCTAGCCAATCTGTCAGATTTATAGGGAGCGATTAGATAGCGGTTCTTAAGTAACTTCCAATGATCCTTTGTTATAAAAAGGAGAGGGGACGTGCTTTGCACACAAACACACACGAGAGAGAGGCATATAGACGAGAGATAGAGAGACAACTTAAAATAAAAGTGTATTCCTTTGTTACTGGGTTAATAAAAGGTTGGGAGTTTTCCTGTAATATTGTGTGTAATCTGCGATTCATTCTTTGTCTATTGTAGTGTGTTGCCTATCATTTGCGGGGCTTCGGGGAAAGCCTCTTGGGTGTGTGAAACACAATAGTCGATAGACCAATGCTCCGAGCTTACATTTTGTAACTTGATGAATGATGTGCTTATATGAGTTCCTAGATAATGGTGTTGTGGTCTATCTCGGATGATATTGTGGTTTACGGTAGGAACTTGAATGATCATGTAGTGCATTTGTCGGATGTTTTAAAGAAACTTAGGGAACATCAACTATTTGTAAAGAGGGAAAAGTGTGAATTCACACGGGGCGAGATCATGTTCCCGGGTCACTTGGTCGGTGAGGGTCAAGTGAGGATGGATCCAAGGAAGGTGCGAAGCTATCCTAGAGTGGGAGGCCCCTAAATCGGTGTACGGGTTGCGTTCATTTTTGGGGTTGGCAAACTACTATCGTCGGTTTATTGAGGGATATAGCAAAGTGGCGGCTCCTCTGTCGATTTGTTAAAGAAGGACGGACGGTGGAATTGGGTTGACGAGTGCCAACGAGCATTCGACAAGCCGAAGAGAGCTGTTACGTCGGCTCCGGTGTTGAGACCGCTCGACTTTGAGAGGCCTTTCGAAGTGCATACCGATGCTTCGGATAGGGCCATTGGGGGAGTGCTTGGTACGGGAGGGTCATCCGGTTGCATTTGAAAGTCGGAAGCTCAATGAGGCGGAATAGAAATATTCGACACATGAAAAGGAAATGACAACGGTAGTCCATTGCTTGGGTGTGTGGCGAGTATATCCGTTGGGGTCGAGATTCATAGTAAAGATAGATAATGTGGCCAACACTTTCTTTAAGAAGCGAAAGAAGCTATCTCGGAGGCAAGCTCGGTGGCAAGAGTTTCTAGCCGAGTATGACTTTGTGTGGGAGCATAAGCCGGGACAACATAATCAAGTTACCGATGCACTAAGCGGGCGTGAGGTGCTTGCAACCCTTTTTCTCTTGTACGAGGTGGAGTCGAGCTGCTAAGGAGGATGAATCATACAAGAAGTTGGCTGGTCTTGTACGAGAAGGGATAGTGTGGAGATATTGGCTGGACAATGATCTCCTATATGCGAAAGGGGTCGAATCTTTGTGCCGAAGGGGAAGGCTGCGAAAATTCTTGATGTCGGAGACACATGATCCGCGATGGCTGGACATCCATGAAGGGAGAGG